CATGCCAGCATATATGAGGTCCTGGGTTCAATACACCGTATCACACACACATAAAGTTTTCTTTGCTGTTCACTGAGTCATGGTCCCCTATCCTCACAAGTCAAGTGTTGGCTGGGCAGAATGGGGGTGCTGCGTCAATCCTGGGGCAACCATTTGAGAATAGCTGCTGAGTCTGATTTTACAATCTTTAAAATTCTCATTATTTTTACTAGCTGCATTAATTTCTAGCATTTTGTAACAAATTGCCATGAGTTTGCCATCTTAAAAGAGCAAACACTTCTTACCTGTTTTCCATAGGTCAGGAGTCTAGGCTTGCTAATGGGAACTTTGTTCAGGGACTCATGGCTCCAGTAAAGGTGCTGCCAGGGCTTCCATCTCATCAGGGCTCAGGGTTCTCTTCCAGCCCCGCTGGTTGCTAGCAAAATTCAGTTGCTGTGGTTGTGGGACCGAGGCCCTCTGCTCCTAGGGCTCACCTCTGTTCCCAGACAGCCAATCCTCCCCACAACCTAAGTGTTCTCCAGGGCCATGAGGGAGCAACTCTTGTTTTTGCCCATCTTTTAGTTACTTTTGCAGTGCATGAGATTGAACACAGGCTTCGCTCATGCTCATCAAGCTTTCTGCCACTGAACTACTGTTCTGCCTTACCTTTGCACACCCTTTTAAGAGGCTTACCTGGTCAGGTCAGGCCCACCCAGAGTAATCTTTTAATTGAAAACCAGATTATTACAGATCTTAATTACATCTGCAAAATCCTTTCAGTTTTCCCACAAAATCTTGGAACTTATAGGCCAGCATGTTCACGGGTCCTGCCATGCTCCAGAGGAAGGGATTATACAGGTCATGTGCATCAAGGGTAGGAAATCATGGAATCCTGCTTACCATAGAAGGGTTAAAAAACAAGTAACTGCTTAAATTTAGCTTTCCTACTTTTAAAAACATTTTTTCATAACTAGTAGAGTGCTTGTCTAGTATGCATGAGGCCATGGCTTTGACTCCAGTATCTCAAAATTAGATAAACAATTTCAAGATTCTTTAACTTCATAGTGACAAATCTAAGCAACTGAAAGTAAAATGCATTTGCACTATAATTGTTCATTAAGATATGTACTGGCCAGGGATGTAGCTCAGTGGCACTGCTCCTGCCTCGCAAGCGCAAGGTCCTGAGTTCAATCTCCAGTACCAAAAAAAACCAAGATATGTACTGAACACTGCTGTACCTCAAGATAAAAATATTTTGCCAAAATGCCAATTTTTGTCTAAAACAGAATCTTAAGATTCATTTGGAATAGAATTTTTTTTTGGGGGGGGGTGTTTGAACTCAGGACCTTGCACTTGCCAGGCAGGTGGTAGAACCACTGAGCTAAATCCCTGGCCCTAGAATTCATTTTTCTATAGAGGCTTGTTTCATTTGGGGTGTTTTCTTTTTTATTTAAGCCTTGCTGTGTTACCCAGACTGGCCTTGAACTACTGAATTCAGCCTCCTGAACTGCATGAACTACTGCCTCAGCTCCCAGGTGCTGGGACTATAGGCATGTACCACTCTAGCATTCTGGCACACACCTGTAATCCCAGCAATTTGGGAAGCCGAAGAGGATTAAAAGTTTGAGGCCAGCCCAGGCAACTTTGTAAGATCCTGCTTCAAAGTAAGAAAAAAAAAGGGGAGAGGAACTCTGGACTTGATCCCTAGTACGTATCTATCACCACACCCAACTTGTACAGAAGTTCTGTATCACTGGTGGTGAACCTATGGCACGCATGCTGCAGCAGGCTATTTATATCTGTTATAGCTGTGCCTAGATATCCCCCAAAGCCTCATGCAGTCATAGCTGGGGCTTTTTCAGAATCTACAGTGTGACTAATTCATGGTGCAATGCTAAATTCAAGGGCACTAGGATTACGGGTGTGAGTGCTACCTGCTCTAGGTAGTCTGGATAAGATACAAGGGGCAGAAAGATGGTGTTAAGGTCCCTTGTTGCTTTTGCTGTCTTCTGCTGCCTTGAACTGTTGCCCTTCTGCCATGTGCCACCCTGTCTTGGACCCAGCTGATTATGGACTGAAACCTCTACAAACTGTGAGCTAAATAAACCCTTTAACTTTGGGTGTTGGGTATTTTATCTCAGCAATGAGAAAAGTAACTAAGACAGTATCATTGAAAGCCCTAAAGGGCCGGGGATGTAACTCAGTGGCCTCACACCTGCCTGGCAAGTGCGACCTGAGTTCCAGTCCAGTACGAGAAAAAAAAAAGTGAGCCGAGTGTGGTGCTGCACACCTGTAATCCCAGCATTCAGGAGGCTGAGGCAGCAGGATTACTGCAAGTTCAAGGCCAACCTGAACTACATAGTGAGACCCTGTCTCAACAAACCAAAAAAAGGGCCAGGGACATAGCTCAGTGGCATTGTGCCTACTTTGCAAGTGCAAGGTCCTGAGTTCAATCCCTGGTACTGAAAAAAAAAAAGCCCTAAAATTTTTGCCATCACTGCCCTATATTATAATTTTATATTAAACAGAAATGATTATGAGTGCTCATGCAGAACTAAATTTGTAGTTACCATTCAAAGCCTTTTTTTGGTTTTGTGTGTCCTAGGGATTAAACTTGGGCTTTATGCATGCTAAACCACTATGGTGTACCAACAAAGTATCTACCTCTGAGCTTTTTTTTTTTTAAGCTACGTCCCAGTCACCCCCCTCCCCATCCCACCCCAACTCCTTGCTGCCATTCTTTTTTTTTTTTTTCTTTTTCTTTTTGGTACCGGGGATCGAACTCAGGTCCTTCCACTTGCAAGGCAGGCACCAGAACCACTGAGCTAAATCCCCGGCCCTTGCCATTCATCTTTATACACTGGAAGATAAGCCCAAGGCCTTCACACTGAGCACATCCTCAGCCCTCCCCCTCCCCTTTTTCTGGTACTGGGGATCAAACTCAAGACCTTGCACTTGCAAGGCAGGCACAGTGCCACTGAGCTAAATCCCTGGCCTGCTTTTTTTTTTTAATTTTGAGACAAATTTTCATTAAGTCACAAAGTTGCCTGTGGTGGGCTTGAACTTTTTTTTTTTTTTTTTAAACTTTAACCACTACTATTTATTTTATTTTATTTTGGGGGTATGGGGGATTGAACTCGGGTCCTTGCACTTACACAGCAAACGGGGAAACCACTGAGCTAAATCCCCAGCCCTTCAACTTTTGATTCTCTTGCCTCCACCTCCTAGAATGTTGGAATTAAAAGTGGACCCTTAACTTACAAACTCAATTCATTCACAAGGGCTGGTTGTAACTCAAGTTGGTCAACTGAAGACTCAGGCTCCCCTATGCGGCCTTCAAAGTATCTCTCCTGTATCCAGGCAGATCTCAGTGTCCTTAGAGACATTGGCCCAGGATTTCTCAACCCCATACAGGAAAGGATGTTATAATGTTCCTTCCAGAACTCTTCAAGGGTTAAATCTGTATCTGAGACTATCTGGAAGCACAAGCAGCCAGCATTTGGGTCTTAAGACTTTGTTTGTAAATTAAAACTAAAATTCTGGTCCTAACCCAATTTGTTCATTTGTCAGGCCAGTCATAACTTGAGGCTCTACTGTTTAGGCATACAAAATACCATGCTTTTTTTGCTACCGGGGATCAAACTTGGGTCCTTGCGGTTGCGGGGCAGGCGGCGGAACCACTGAGCTAAATTCCCAGCCCAACCATGCTTTTTTTTTGACACAAGGTCTCACTATGTAGTTCTGACTGGGCTTGAACCTGCTGTAGTCCAGGCTGGCCTTGAACTTGGAGTGATCCTCCTGCATCAGCCTTCCGAGTGCTGGGATTACAGGTGTCTTAATTACTTTTCTCTTTGCTTAGATAAAATACCTGACATCCAAAGTTAAAGGAAAAAAGGTCTACTTAGCTCACAGACAGTACAGCTGGCTCCAAGGCAGGGTGTCATGGCAGATAAGCATCACAGAGGAGAAACAGTTCATGGCAGCAGGCAGAAGGTAGCAAAGCAAGCAAGGGATGACCACATCTTTCTATCCCTTGTATCTCCCCCCGTCCCCGTACGGGGGATCAAACTCAAGACCTTGCACTTGCAAGGCAGACGCATGCCACTGAGCTAAATCCCCAGCCCTTCTTATGGTTTTTTGAGACAGGGTCTTGCTGTGTAGTTCAGGCTGGTCTTGAACTATGTAGCCCAGGTTGGCCATGAACTTGCAGTAATCCTCCTGCCTCAGCCTGCTGATCCTCCTAAGTCAGCCTCCGAAGTGCTGGGATCACAGGCATGTGCCACCATGCCTGGCCTCACAGCAGTTTTTTTTTGTACTGTGGATTGAACTCGGGACCTTACACTTGCAAGGCAGTTGACAGCACCACTGAGCTAAATCCCTGGCCCAGCAGTTTTTAACTTACTAAGTATATAACTAGGAAATTTGATCCAAAGTTAGGAAGTTCAGTTTAAAAATGTTTTATTTCATACTTCATAAAAAAAGTTTATATGTACAGAACAAGACTCAACGTAACTAGAAAGGCAGCTTTCAATAGCAAACAAGACAGTGATCTTTCAGACTCTAGTGTGGAAGCATACTGAACGCACTGTTCAGAATTACACATATTTAATTATTCAGTCCAAGTTCTGGGTTTTAACATATATAAGACACTTATGGTCAGACTTTAAGATTGATAATGCCAATTTCAAGCTGCTTATATTTTGAGTACAGGTATCTCTATTATAAATATATGATGTTAACTAACAACATGGCAATACTCAAAGATTTTTTTGTCCCATGTTCATGCATTTGTACTCCTTTTGCTAATTTCCCTTTTTGTGGTTAATCTTCAAATTACAGCAGTTATGCATTGAGTTCTCTATGTATCTCACCCATCTCCTTTATCTGAAAGAGAAAAAAGTATAGAAGAAATTTTTAAATAAATTTTTAAAATTTTCAATCTTTTGTTCATTCTGAAAAGCTTTTAAAAAACTAAAGTGAAAACAAGATGAATCTTTTTCACATTTTATAAAACGTTTAAATAGAGACTGAAAGTTTTATTACAAAGAAACACATATTGAGTGCATGATCCAAGCTGCTCCTTGAAACAAGATGGCCAAAGAGACTGGGGAAAGTAGCAGTAAGCTAGATCTTTAAGAACAGATTCATACTAAATGCGTGCTGTTTTTATACCTAGCAAGAACAAATTCACTATTATCAATCTTTCACTTTATAGGTGAAAAAATTGAAGTTCGGAATTAAAAATCACATAGTTACAAACAGAACTGAGACAGCGATGACTACTATTGTTGGGAAAGTTCTCACTATGTGGCAAGCACTGGACCAACACTTTACACAAACGATTTTGTTTAATCCTTACAATAGGCTGTACTATTATCTCCATCTTGCAGATGTGGAAACAAGAGGTTTATAGAAGTTATATTACTTGTTTAGCTGATAAATGGTCAAACTCATGTCTATATTGCCTTAATACCACATCAGCATTCTGCCTGTCTGTCACAGTTCGGTTCGGGGGTAGTCAGTCCCCTAGTCCTGCGGCCATCAAATCAGGTAAGCCAGATGATCTATAGAATGGGAAGAAAATGTTACTTTCAGGTTCTATTAGCTTTTTTTAATGTTCGTTCATATTTCTGTGTTTTTTGTTTTTGGGGGGTTTTTTTTGGTACTGGAGATCGAACTCGGTTCCTTGTGCTTTCGAGCCAGGCACCAGAACCACTGAGCAAAATCCCCGGCTTCTGTGTTGTTTATTTATTTTTTCTTTTTGGTACCAGGGATCGAACTCAGGTCCTTGCACTTGCAAGGCAGGCGGTGGAACCACTGAGCTAAATCCCTGGCCCTTCTGTGTTATTTTTTAAAAATATTAGTTAAGTGGCACATACACAATTGGAAATAAATACACATAAAATGGTTGAGTACGTAAAAAATGTTATCAATAAAGTTAAGGGCAAATGTGTTCATATCCAATTCTGAGTGACTTAAACACAGTCTAACACTGATTTCATGCCAGTATACAAGAAGTTAGTATGTGACAGATGTACTACAAGTTACGTTCATCCTAAATAATTCTTCACTGCCATAGAGACAACTATAGCACTTCATTAGTCAGCCTGAGTTTCTCTAAAGCAACTCCACTAGAGTATAAAAGATTCGATAAGTGTTGAGATTTATGAAGCATGATTCGATACCAGGTGGACCACCATGGAACTCATGCAGTAAGAGGTAGGTATAAGCTCATTCTAACACCAACCCTGAGACCCTGAGGACTGGAGCATAAAGGGGCTTCAGTATAACCGAGACCCATCAGTGTCCGATTACCAGAAGTAAGATATTAAACAGGGCCTTTTTATAATGTAAGTAATCCATTTACCTCAGCCTTCTCGTACTTTGCTGTTTTCTTCTTTCTGGAAATAATCTGAATGAAAGAAAAATGATTACCATTTTAAAACTGCTACTCAAAAAAGTTGGTCTAAATTGACATACATGCTTTTAAGGTACATATCTGAACAGTTTTAAAATCTATCTACAAACATTTGTTTCTTAAAATTTCACTACTAAACTAAAAAAATTCTACCACAACCAGTGAATTAAAACAAAATTACCTGCCGGGCATGGTGGTGCACACCTGTAATCCCAGCACTTGGAAGGCAGTGGCAGGAGGATCGCCACGAGTTCGAGGCCAGCCTGGACTACAAAGTGAGTTCAGAGCCAGCCTGAACACAAAGAGAGACCTTGTCTTAAAAAAAAAAAAAAAAAATTACCAGGCATGGTGGCACTCTCCTGTAATCCCAGCACTCAAGAGGCTGAGAAAAAGAGTATCACTTTGAATTAGAGGCCAGCCTGAGCTATATATAGTTGAGTTCCAGGCCAGACTGAAATACAAAATGAGACCCTCTCTCAAAAAACAAAAACAACAACCAAAAAAAAATCGTGAGGCCAGCGTGGGCTACATAGTGAGTTTAAAGCCAGCCTGCACTACAAAGTAAGACCCTGTCTCAAAAAAACAAAACAAAAACACACATGAAAAACAAAACAAACAATGAATAACCCTCAATGCAATTTAAGTGTGATGTGCTTCCTTTTTCCACACTTATATAAAAATCTGTAAACACATGCAGTATCAGTTTCATCTATGAATAGCCATATGATCATAGGAACCCTTCCACATCAAACATAGATCAAGAGCTGGGCATGGTGGCACACTCCTGTAATCCTAGCATTCAGTAGGCTGAGGCAAGAAGACCATGAGTTCGAGGTCAGCCTGGGCTAAACAGCAGGTTCAAGGCCAACTGTACACAAGACCTTATCTCAAAAAACCAAAAGAAGAAAAAAAAAAAAAAGATTGAACTTATTCAAAAAATTCCATATAGCATGGATACACGGCTCTTTCCTCATTCTTCAGGCAAAATACACTCTGTGCTGCAATACATAACCTTAAACATGCTTCCTCTCTGCACCTGTACTTTCATTTTCAAAGGACAATTACATTTATATGAATCTTCTGTGTCTGTCATTTGAAACTCCTCTTCTGTAAATTGTCTATCCATCCCTACAGCCATTCTGTAGGTTTCCTCAATATTACGCACGATATCCTTTTTTTTTTTTTTTTTGGGTACCAGGGATCAAACTTGGGTCCTTGTACTTTCAAGCCAGGCGGCAGAACCCCTGAGCTAAATCCCCAGACCTATCCATTTTTATTTTATGCATCATGAGTTTTTCCTATTATATAATTGATTCTTTTTGATTTACAATATCTTTGCCATACAAAATGTTAACATGTTTAATTTTGGATAGGTGTGGTAGGACACACTGATAGTTTGGGTGAGATAGAAAGATCACTTGAGTTTAAGAGTTCAAGACTATGCTGGGGATTTAGCTCAGTGGTTTCACCGCCTGCTGCGCTAGCGCAAGGACCCAAGTTCAATCCCCAGTACCAAAAAAAAAAAAAAACAAGAGTTCAAGACCAGCCTGCGTAACATTCCAAGACCGCATCTTTAAAAAACTCAGCTCCTTGGAGGCTGAAGTAGGATGATCCAGGCCAGACTGGGCAACTTTGCAAGACTCTGCCTCAGAATATAAAAAACACATAGGGCTGGGGATTTAGCTCAGTGGCACTGTGCCCACCTCACAAGCACAAGTTCCTGAGTTTGATCCCCGGTACCGAAAAAAAAAATTTTAAAAGCATAAAGGACTGAGGACGTAGCCCAATGGCAGGCTACTCTCCTAGCATGTGTGAGGCCCTGGGTTCAAACCCAGTATACCTCTCCCAGCTCCCAAAAAGTTTTTCCTAGGGCCAGGGATTTAGCTCAGTGGTGCAGCCGCCTGCCTTGCAAGCACAAGGTCCTGAGTTTGATCCCTGATACCAAAAAAAAAACAACTTTCATGGGTTTTGGTTTCTTGCCTAACATGGTTTCTGCTACCACAAAGTTGTAAAAACATTTCTTAAATCGATTTCTCGAAATTGACCTTTTTTAACATTTTACACACAAGTCCATCTGGAATTCATGTTTGAGTATGAGTGCAAAGCCTTCCCATCGCAGTGCTCTGGACCTGTCCGTGACACAGTGCGACAACATGGTCACCCTTCTGGGGTCACACAGGAATTCACCTTCTGTTTCCTTCAGATGGAAGTGCAGTAATTCCACTGATCTAGAAATTAAATTCCCACATACACTCAAATCTCTTTCTGAAGCTGGGATGGTGGAGCATGCCTATAATCCCAGCTCTTGGGAGGCTGAGGCAGGAATATTGCTGCAAGTTTGAGGCCAACCTAAACTACACAGTGAGACCCTGTCTCTAAAAACCTCTTTCTGAATTCTGTTGTGTTGATGAGATTTTCTGATGCAGAGCATGCTCACATTTCTTGGCTAAACCCCATTTCTTCAGGTGACACTTCCTTATTTTATTTGTTTGGGATTACAGGCATGTGCCACCACACCCGGCTTCACGTGATATCTCTAAAGCACTGCTAAATTCAATTTGCTAATCTTTATTTTAAAATTGTTTCAAATTTAGCACTTTTAACTTTTTTCTACACTAACTTAAATCTTGTGATCTGGAGCTGGGGATGTGTCTCAGTGGTACAGCACTTACCTGGTATTGCCAAGGCCTTGGGGTTCATTCCCAAAAACAACTCCACCTCCCTCAAAAAAATTGTGTCCTGTTATTCCATCTCACTGCATGCTTCGGGAATGCAGATGTTTTGCACTAACACTGGCAAGAGTGTTGAATGATTTACAGCAGAAAGGAGAACTGAAGGGTATTTGCTGCTTGTGGGTAATATATATAATTGGCCTGTGACATGTGCTCAGCTACAAGCTTTTTCACTCTTGCTTCCTTCCTCAAGTGCCTGTTATGTAAAAAGGAACTGGAAATGCAATAGATTAATTTGCTATACTTATTTAAAAAATGAAGATTTTGGGCCGGGGATTTAGTTCAGTGGTTCCACTGCCTGCCGCGCAAGCGCAAGGTCCCGAGTTCAATCCCCGGCACCAAAAAAAAAAAAAAAAAAAAAATGAAGATTTTGCTTCATTAATGTTTTGGAACATGAAACTGGTTTCCTTTGTTCTGTACTCACCAGCACAACAATTCCAGCGATAATTGCTATTATCACAACCACAATGACGGCAATAACACCCGCTGCTAGACCTTGCATTGAAAATTCAGGTGGTTTTTCATCAACATAGTAAATTAAAGTTTGACCAGGATCCAGATCCAGTTGTTCCCCATTTACTCTCAGGTCCATTTTCTTAGAACGGAACAAGGATTCACCTTTAACCTATGTTGAAAAGGAGTAAAACAATTTAAAATATTTAAGAAAAACAATCATGGCCACCTATAATTACAAACCCTGCCTCAAAAAAAGAAAAAAGAAAATATGAACCCAGGATCTTCCCACTGAGCTACATCCCCAGCCCTGTAAATCTTTTTTTTTTTCAGTTGTGAGATAAGGTCTTTCTAAGTGGCTAAACTGCCCAGGCTGGGCTCAAACTTTTGCTCCTCCTGCCCCAGACTCCCACAGTGCTGGGATTATAGGCCTGAGCCACCACACCTAGTTATAAAGGACAAACTTAATTGCAGAAGTGCCACATAGAAATATGGTTCATCTGTATATGGAGAATAACGTAATAAAAGATCTTGAATCCACTGAAGAATGACAGCTGAACGAAGAGTAAAATATGGAAATTTAAGCCAGGCATAGTGGCACATACCTGCAGTCCCAGCACTAAGGAGGCCGAGGCAGGAAGACTGCTGTGAGTTCAAGGCCAGCCTGAACTATATATCGAGACCCTATCTCAAAAAGCTAAAAAGAGGGCCGGGGATTTAGCTCAGTGGTTCCAGTGCTTACCTCGAAAGTGCAAGGTCCCGAGTTTGATCCCCAGTACCAGAGGAAAAAAAAAAAAACTAAAAAGAAAAAAAGAAAGTTTATACTTACATCTTTTTCAAAATAATAAGCCACATCAGCTATGTCCACATCATTCTGAGTCTTCAGAGAAGAATTTTGCATCAGATCAATAATGATAACATCATTCTCATACTGGGAAGGGATGAAAAATACAAATTAATATCAATATAATCAAAATTATATTAAAATATCATTAATAGGATATTCAGGGGTTTTTTTAATTTTTATTTTTTGGGGGAGGTACCAGGGATCGAACTCAGGTCCTTGCGCTTGTGAGGCAGGTGCCGGAACCACTAAGCTAAATCCCCGGCCCAGGGTTTTTCGTGTTTTTTTTTTTGTACAAGGGATCGAACTCAGGACCTTGTGCTTGCGAGGCAGGCAGCAGAACCACTGAGCTAAATTCCCGGCCTAGAATATTCAGTTTTTGATTTTCTATAATGTACATGCATCAGTGATCTTCTCCAGTAGTGGATAATTAAATTCATCACTAATTATTGAAAAATCTATCCAAGGTAAAAAGAAAGCAATGCAAACAACTATAATGCATTTTTTAAAAAAATCAAAGTGGAAAGAGTTAAGAAGGACTAATTGGGTAAAAACTAGCACCTTAACCCACAGTAATGGAAGAAAAGAAAGCCAAAAAAGGGGAGGACAAGAGCAGCATCCTAGAGTATGTGCAAAAAACAGTCACAGAGGGGTTCTTGTGGGTACAAAGACACGTGTTTTAGGGATACTAAGAGACACTATCTTTTCTACAGGGGCAGAACTGGGGTTTTCAAAGGCTATGATGGAAGAAAGGAATTTCACATTAAATGCCCAGGATTTAAACTGCTACTCAAATGCATTTAACCACTACTAAAATCACTGGCTAAACCATGCTACCCCATCAACTTCCTGCTAAATCTTATTTACCAAAAAATCTTACCAGAATATTTGTAATAAATTTTGGATTCAGCTGGTAACGGGTTGTGATCATCTCCTTAAGTGCCCTGTAAATAATTTTTTAAACCTGAGTTAAAAAATATATTTGTATCACACAACAGTCAGAAGCTCTACTTTTGTTTCAGGATAGGTTCTCAGTATGTAGCCTATATTGGTCTCAAACTCACCATCCTCCCGCTTCAGCTTCCAGAGTGCTGGAATAGCAGGTGCGCACCATCACACCAGGCTAAGAAACTACTTTTTAACAAAGCAGATAGCTCAAGATATAGAACTGTCATTAGTAAAGTTGTTTAAAATAATTCCTTTAAAACATAGACTGCTTCACAAATTTGCATATCATCATTGTGCAGGGACCATGCTAATCTTCTCCGAATGGCTCTAATTTCAGTAATGCACTGCCAAAGCAGAGCTGAAGTTGTTAAAATTTTTTTTTAGGGGCTGGGGATTTAGCTCAGTGGTTCCACCGCCTGCCTCACAAGCGGAAGGTCCTGAGTTCGATCCCTGTTTTTTTTTGGGGGGGGGGTAACCGGGGATCGAACTCGGGTACTTCTGCTTGCGAGGCAGGCGGCGGAACCACTGAGCTAAATCCCCGGCCCTGTCGTTAAAATTTTTATGCCACTTTGCAACTAACATAATAAAAATCACTTTAGACTAGAATATTATATTGATACTAAAACTGCTGAGTGCCATTTCAATTAAAAATAGAACATTTTGCCGGGTGTAGTGGCACACTCCTGTAATTCCAGCACTCAGGAGGCTGAGGCAGGAGGATTGCTATGAGTTTGAGGCTCGCCTGGGCTATACAGTTAGTACAAGGCCAGCCTGAACTATACACCAAGACCCTGTCCGGAAAAAAAAAACCATTGCCATCAGTCCCTCTCAAAATACTTCTCCTCTCTTTGAACACACTTATCTCATCATTCTTGCCACTTTATTGTTTGTTTTTTGCTTTTTTTGAGATAGGGTCTCATTAAGTAGTTCAGACTGGCCTTGGAACTCACTGTGTAGTGCAGGCTAGCCTTGAACTTGTGGTGATGGTGCCTCAGCCTCCAGAGTTCTGGGATTACAGAGGTGTGCCACCATACCTGGCTATCGAATTCTTGCCACTTTCTGCAGCAGTTCTTAAAGTCCTCTTTCATGAGTATCTTTATGAGGTGTGATAAAAAATATGGTGAGTGCTACTGCCAAGTGCCATTTAATGAAAAGCCAGGCTCATAAAACATTATGTTGTGTCCTCATCCACCTTATTCACTGGATCAGGCATCGTGTGACTCCTGGCTCTTCTTCAAATTCAAAATGACCATGAAAAGTAAACGTTTTGAATCAGTTCAAAGCAGCCAGGACAACACAACCAAAGACATAAAAGAGGACTTCCAGAACTTCTGTAGAATGTAGCAAGAACAGTAGGTGTGTTTAAAGTGAGGAATATTTAAAAAAATAAAAAATTAAAAAATAAAGTGAGGACTATTTTGAGGGGAATTAATTGTAATGCTTTTTTCACTACATTTTTTTTTTTTGGGGGGGGCGGGTGGTACCAGGGATCGAACTCTGGTCCTTGCGCTTTTGAGTCAGGCAGCAGAACCACTGAGCTAAATCCCTGGCCCTACAATATATTTTTTAAAAAATTAACATTCACCATATTTTTTATTACACATTGTAAAGTAAGTATACACATAAACACAAAGAGAAAATATGGCAAAATGTTAACTGGTGAATCTGAGTAAAGGGAATATACAGGAATCATCGTTGTGTTTTGGTTTTTTTTTTTTCTGAGACAGGGTCTCACTTTGTAGTTCAGGTTGGCTTTATGTTGACCCTGTAGGCAGGCCTCAAACTCATGGCAATCTTCCTGCCTCAGCCTCCCAAGTACTGGGATTATAGGCATGGACCATCACACATGGCTCATTGTACTATTATAACTATTTTTTTTTTTTTGATACCAGGGATTGAACTAGGATCTTTGCACTTTCGAGGCAGGCAGCAGAACCACTGAGCTAAATTCCCAGCCCTAAATCTATTTTTTTAAAAAAAATCTATTGACAGAAATAAGAAATGGCATTTTAACTTAGTTTTTCTAATGGTGCAGGACAGAAGATTTGAAAAGCAATTGTGCGAGGCTAATAGGATGCATGTAACTGTACTTACATCTGTAGGCTTTGAAGGTCGTAAGGCTGTTGTCTTTCCTTGTGTTTTAGTTCAATGATGATCCAGCTGTAAGTAAAAGGACAAAGATAACTGTCTATAACTGTTTTACACTGTTTTCCCAATAAGCTCACACTATAGTTCCCAATGAAAGACAGTAGAGATGACAGGACAGGGACTTGCAATAAGTGTGCCTGTGGTTTCTCCCTCACTCTAGCTCCCTTAACAGAGAACCCCTTTCTAATCCTGACCCGCTGGCCTCTGGCTGTCACACCTACGGGGACATGAAGTGAGGCAGAGTGGCCATGTTGGACTCTGTTCAAGTAAGAAGAAAAAAAGATCAAGAGAACAGAAAACTGAGTGAGGCTCCAGAAGATGGAACTGGAGAATAGGACACACATGTGTAAATACCCAATAGTTTCTCCAATGTGAGAAACTGAAAGTGTAAATAAGGACTAAAAGGTATAATAGATAATGTGAAATAGGAAGAAAAG